TTTAGTCCTACTGCACAGCTGTCATCCTGGGATGTCACATCATAATCATCCTGGGAATTCCCTTCACCTCTCTTTCACATCTATGTTTCCTGAATCCTTTTGTACTTTCTCATAGTTACATTTTTATTGCATCCACATTCTACTTGGATGTAATTTCTCTTTCTCCTTTTAAAAAAATATTTGTAGATTTAAATATTTTTTTTTCTGCTTATTTTCACTAACTAGTTCAGTTCTCTCCCACCACTTATTTGTTTTAGTACCTTTCTTTTTGGAATCTTTTCTTACTAATTGGTGTTCCTTAGCAAATTAAAAAAATTTTTTTGAAGTCCAATCTATTGATATATACTTTCTATACTATAAAATGTACAGATTTTCAGTGTTGCGTTTAATGAAATTCCCACCCCCCTTACAGTAAGCACCACCTGTCAACCATTGGTCTCTGTCATCATAGCTAGTTTGCCTGTTTTTAAGACTTTCATATAATGCAGTCAGGCAGTGTATAATGCAGCCAGGTACTTTTTGTTCAACACAGTTTTTGCTCAACACAGTTTTTTGCAATTCATTTATGTTTTATGAGTCAGTAGCTTTTTCATTTTTATTTCATATTATAGATATACACAATTTCACCTGTTGATGGACAAAAGGGTGGTTGTTTCCAGTTTTATTTCGAGCTATTATTAATAAAGCTGCTATGTACATTCTTGTACACTTTTTCAATTTCTTCCTGGCACATAATTAGAAATTGAATTGCTGGGCCATCGGATAAGTATATGTTTAACTTTATGAGAATTGCCAAACTGCCTATTTATTTTTAAGAGTGATACATTAAAGGAATGATTGGGACTGGATGTGATGGCTCACACCTGTAATTCCAGCAATTTGAGAAGCCAAAGCAGGAGAATCACTTGAGTCTAGGAGTTCAAGACCAGCCTAGGCAACATAGTGAGATCTCATTTCTACAACAAATATAAAAATGAGCCTGGCCTGGTGGTACATACCTATAGTCCCAGCTACTCGGGAAGCTGGGGCTGGAGGATTGCCTGAGCCTAGGATGTCAAGACTGTGGTGAGCCATGATTATGCTACTGTATTGCACTCCAGCTTGGGTGACAGAGTGAGACTTTGAATTTAAAAAATAAATAAAAATTAAAGGTTTGATTGGAAGGCTAGTATGTTTGACTGTATCACTTGTTGACCACTCCTCCAGATACTTAATGCATTTTCACCAGAAAAATTGGATTGTCTCTTAGGTCCTCAATTCTCTTTGTTCTTGTGAGTTTCTATCCTTTTTTATTCTAACTGTAATTTCAGAGGGAGAGGGAGAGAGAGAGGGGATTTTTAATAATGTGTTCTGTTTTCCTTTTTGTCTTTGCAGAAACCACTTTTTTCTAATACTAAAATCACTACATTAATATTGTGCTTTCCTACTTTAAAAACTTACTAGGTTTGATTCTATTTTATGTCTTGCCTAAATTTTTATTTTAAAATTTGCAATTTCACTATACAATGAACATTTGTATATATTCCTTATCTACAGATTAACCAAATGTCCATCTGTTTATTTTGATAAATACCATTAATTTTCAGTAAATATGGACCTGTGGCAACATTTTGGTGTCTGATAATTCTGTTTTGACTGTATACCAATAACTTACTTAATCTGTCCTCTGTTGATGGACATTGTTTACTTATTATAAATTGTTTATAAAGTTTATTGTACATTTCCCTTTGTTATAAATGAATACTTTTATTAGTCATCAATGACTTTTTTTTCCCCTCTGAGTCAGAGTCTCACTCTGTTGCCCAGGCTGGAGAGCAGTCGGTACGATCATGGCTACCATAACCTCTGCCTGTTGGACTCAGGTGATCCTTCTGCCTTAACCTTCCAAGTAGCTGGGACTACAGGTGTGTGCCACCATGCTTAGCTAATTTTTTACTTGATTGTAGAGACGAGGTCTCACCATGTTACCCAGGCTGGTTTCGAACTCTGGGGCTCAGGTAATCCTCTCACCTCAGCCTGCCAAAGTGCTGGGAGTAGAAGTGTGAGCCACTGCGCCTGGCCAAGATTGCTATTTTAAAAAAATATATTACTTAGCAGTCCTTCACAGCAGTATAGGAGAGTACTAGGTTATATTTCAGTTGTTGATTTTCTTGTCTTCTTCACTAGACCATGGGCAACCTAATTTGTTAGTAAAGTCATTAATGAAAATTAGGCATCTTAAAGAACTAGATATTTTAGTAGCTAAAGTTATCTCCATTACTGTGATTTATGAGATAAACTTTGTTCTACTTTTCACTTTCACATTCTGAAAATTAAAGAATCAAGTTATTATATTAGAGATGTTAATATCACAAGTTTAATTTTAAACAAATTAGGCACCTAATATTCACACTTTTCTCTAGCTACTTATTCAGCTATTAGTTCTTATTGTCTTATCATTGCTCTACATGTTGTTCAACCATGACCCTGCCTTCCTACCACAAGCACTTATTAAATGATTACTATGTACTAGGCACTCTTCAGTCTTTATCTTGCTGGTCCTTTCTGCCTTAACTTGATCAGTCTCTTCTTCCTGGCCTTTGGAGACTGTACTTTTCTGCTCCTCCTTTGACTATTCCCTGTCAATTTTCTTCTTCTTTATTTTTCTTTTTATTTTCTTTTTCTTTAGACACAGCAAACACTAGCTTCTTCCAGTTTTGTATGTCTCATTGTGCTTCTTACTCATGGTTATTATTTATTTATTTTTTTGAGTTGGGGTCTCATTCTGTTGTCCAGGCTAGATGCATTGACATGCTCATGGCCACCCCAGCGTCGACCTGCTAGGCTCTGGTGATCCTTCCGCTTCAGCCTTCCAAGTAGCCGGAACTACAGGCATGTGCTATCATGCCCAGCTAATTTTTGATTTTTTGTAGAGACTAGGTCTCGCCAAGTTGCCCGGGCTGGTCTCGAACCCGTGGGCTCAAGCAATCCACTCGCCTTGGCCTCCCAAAGTGCTGGGATTACAGGCTGAGCCACTGAGCCCGGCCCACTAATGGTTATTATTACCGTCTGTATACTTATGACTCCCGTTAAACCTCTCTTAATCTTTATACTCATAATGCTAAAAACTCAAATGTATCTCCCCACAGTCTCCTATATTCAGTTTGACCTTAAGAGAGTTTTTCATCTTTTTTTTCTTGACTTACTTGTTTCTAACATTCCTGCCTATGTGGTAACACGATTCTTCAAGTTTCCCAGTATAGAAACCTGCACATTGTTCTAGACTGCTTCTATTCTGAGTAAAGCTTCATGTTCTACTGACCTTTTTCTTCTATCCCCAACATAGCTCTTTTTCTTCTTGTAGTAGCAGCCTGCTTCAAGATTTGTTCTGTTCTCTACATTATTGGTAGAGTGAGCTATCAGAATTGTATCTGACTGTGTCCCTTCTTATGACAAAACAGAGTCTCTGTGACTTGGTCTTGCTGCCTCTGCAGGTTTATCATTTACTACTCCTTGCCTTGCTTATTTTGCTATAGTAACATAACATACGTCTCTGTGCATCATTTTACTTTGTAACAAACTATAATTTTTGCCTGGCATACCTTTTTCATTTTGCTTGGGTTAGCCTTTAAAATTTAATGCAATCCTCCTTTTCATCCAGAAGACTTCTCTGTTTTCTCTAGTATAGGTCAAAAATACCCCTTCTGTGCCTTCATTATGATTGTCGTTCTGACCACATAATATTAAACACTATTTATAAAAGCTTTTATAATTTTTTAAATAGAGACAGAGGTTTCTCTATATTGCCCAGGCTGGTCCCAAACTCCTAGCCTCAAGTGATCCTCCTGCCTTGGCTTCCCAAAAGGTGTTGGGATTACAGGCACGAGCTACCATGCCTAACCTATTTATTTCTTTGTCCTTGTGGATACAGATTGTCCTACCTAGTTAAAAAAGTAGAATTAAAAAACCCTCAATGCCTAAAATAATTGCTCAGTAATGTTTTTTCCAATTTTTTACTTTAAAGATGTGGGGTACAATTCAGGGTTAGGTATACAAATGTTCATTATGTAGGTACCCTTGTTAGTGAGGTGTGCCCTCTTCCCCCCCACCCCTGGCAGTTTCCCACTATGACCAATACTCTTCTTATAGTATTACAAAAATTATTCAAGGTCCGCTTATAAGTGAGAACATGTGAAACTCAGTTCTTTGTTTCTGTGATCACGCAGTACTATAGACTCTAAGTCCATCCAAGTTGCTGTGAAGTTCATAATTTTTCAGTAATTTTTAAATTTTTGATAGTGGATACCTAAACATCTTAGGTTGTTGGCATCATTTATCTATAAATTATTTTCCTTGTAAATGATGATAAAATCTAAGCTAAGCTTGGGGACTATTCTTTACATGGATAGATATGTGCTCAAAGAGTACAAATAATACAATTTTTTAAATCATAAAAGTAATGAATGTATTGCTGTTGAAAACATTAATATCAGAATCCAATAGCATTAAGCTTGCCTGGAAATTTAAAACATTTGTTACTTCCTTGCCCCTCCCTAAAATTTGCATGCAGATACTGGGGGTGCCAAAAAAATGTATGCACATTTTAAGAGGTATTATCTATGTAATACTTTTAGTTCACCATAATCAAAAGTGTCTGGACACTGATGATAACCACTTTGAGCACCTCTTGTAACTGCAGAAGACCCATGTGACTTGTATTAATCTTTTGTTATTGGTATATATTGAGTATTACAATTATAATACAGTTTTTCCTTTCTTAAAATTTCTGTACATTTTTTTGGCACCCTCTGTATTAAATTTTGTCTTTTGAAAATAATTGGTCAGGAATTGCTATATCTATTTTCTAACTTAGATTTGAAAATAATAAAATTATGGCAAAATATTGAGTTTGTTTTTCTTATCTGAAAGTAATTTTTCTTAGGAACAAGGATGAAAAAGATTTTGAGAGACTTCTTTTCTATCATTATTTCTTACTCATCTTCTATTTCTGAATTACAGTTACAGATGTAGAGCTGAAACGACTGAAAGACGCCTTCAAGAGGACCTGTGGGCTCTCATATTACATGAGCCAACACTGCTTCATCAGGGAAGTGCTTGGGGATGGAGTGCCTCCAAAAGTTGCTGAGGTAATCTTTGTGTTCTAGGTTTTCCTTTGAGTTAATTATCCACTGGCCTAAATTCTTGATCAGGGGGCCTCCTGGTCTTAACAGATTTAATTTTTCTTGCAGTTATTTTTCTTGCTGAGTAAACAGGACTTTCCTTCCCTTTCCCATGTATGTATGTATGTATGTATGTATGTATGTATGTATGTATGTGTGTATGTATGTATAGTAGAGATGAGATTTCCCTATATTGACCAGACTGGTCTTGTGGCCTCCAGTGATCCTCCTTCTTTGACTTCTCAAAGTGTTGGGATTACAGGTGTGAGAACTGTATGGACACATGACTGTATCTTTTGGTCTTGTTTTAGACCCCATGACTGTGGTTTTGTTTTAGAACACGATTGTGTTCTTAGAGGCCAAATGGGAGTACTGCAGAGCTGTAATTCTGCTTCTTTTGTACTTTTGAGCTTTAACAGCCACCAGTTATAATCATGGCACCATTTGTATGATTGGCTTCTTATTCTTACAGACTTCATCTTTCTTACATAAATTTTTTGTGTTTCAATATGTTTTATCAAGTATGTTTTATCAATTTTGTGTTAGAAAAACCTTTCCATATAGCAAAATCTTGTTAATTCTAGAAAATTAAATATTGTAAAATTAAACTAAATGAAATATGAGGTGACTGGAACTTATTTAAATTCTAGTAAAATTTTTAGGTAGAGATAAAAATGTGTTGATACATTCTTTTTCTAAAAATAGTAAGTTGAGCCAGATGCCATGGCACATGCTTGTAGTCCCAGCTATTTGGGAGGCTGATGCTGGAGTATATCAGACTTCAAAGCTACTGTGAGTTGTGATTGCACCACTGCATTCTATTCTGGGCAACATAGTGAGAACTTGTCGCTTAAAAAAATTAATATAAAAGTTTACTATGTATACAACAATAACAATTTTGACAGAAATTTTAAGCTTGGTATGTTATATAGAACCTTAATTTGCCATTTAAAATTAATGACAGATTCTGTTTCAAATCTGTGTTATGTGCTTTTGAGCCTGGCGATTTACATAGAATAGAGGTTGCATTTGTTGTTGGTTTTGTGACTTGTTTTTGTTTTTGTTTTTTTCATGGGTGATATATTCTGCATTATTTTTTTATTTTTATTTTTATTTTTGAGTTGGATTCTCACTCTGTCACCCAGATGGAGTGCAGTGGCCGCTCCCGGCCACTGCAGCTCAACCTGCTGTGCTCCGGCGATCCTTCCGCCTCAGCCTTCCAAGTAGCCGAAATTACAGGCATGCGCTACCACGCCTGGCTGATTTTTTGATTTATTGTAGAGATGAGGTCTCGCTGCCCAGGCGGGTCTCGAACCCGCGGGCTCAGGCAATCCACTCACCTCAGCCTCCCAAAGGCGCGGGATTACAGGCTGAGCCACCGAGCCCGGCTATATTCTGCATTATTTCTCTTACATATATTGCTGTGTAAATTATATACTTTCTTGTTCTGCCATTATTTCAGATTTATGAAAGGACTAGCATTTTTCCATAGTTTATTTTTTGGATTCTCTGTTTCAGTATAAATTTATCTTCTCATTTTCTTCTAATCTATTTTTCTTAAGTGTTAGTATAATGCAAAAACTTGGAATTTAGAATTTTTCATTGTAGGATATAACTAGCAATTTAATATGATAATGTAAGTTGTCAGTTAGAGGAAGACTTTAAGTCCATGCTAATTAGCATAGAATGCTTCCAAATTCAAATGTACACTAATGTTAACCTTTCTCTCCCCCTACTTACTTACTTTTTTTTTAATTTTAAAGATGTGGGGTACAATTCAGGGTTAGGTATACAAATGGTCATTATGCAGGTATCCTTGTTGATGAGGTAGTGCCCCCACTACAGTTTCCTACTACTGCCAGTCCCTTTCATACGGTATTATGATAATCGTTCAAGATCCGTTTATGAGTGAGAGCATGTGGTAGTACTCAGTTCTTTGCTTCTGTGATAGATCATTGATTATTATAGATTCTAAGTCCATCCTAGTCACTGCAAAGTTCACGATTTCATCCTTCTTTATGGCTGTATAATATTCCATCATGTATATGTACCTTTTTTTTTTTTTTTTTTTTTTTTTTTTTTTTTTTTTGAGTTGGAGTCTCACTCTGTTTTCTAGGCTGGAGTGCAGACCTGCTGGGCTCCAGCGATCCTTCCGCCTCTGTCTTCCAAGTAGCCAGAACTACAGGCATGCGCTACATGCCTGGTTTTTTTTTTTTTTTTTTTTTAATTATAGAGATGAGGTCTCACTATATTGCCCAGGCTGGTCTCCAACCTGTGAGCTCAGGCAGTTCTCTTGCCTTGGCTCCCCAATGTGCTGGGATTATAGGCTTGAGCTACCACACCTGGCCAAGTTTTAAATTTTGGTGGTCCAATATATCTGTTTTTCCTTTTTATCACTTATACTTTTAGTTTTATATCTAAGAAACCATTGCTTAACACAAGGTTACAAAGAATGACTCCTGTTTTCCTCTAAGGGTTTTATAGTTTTAGCTCTTATACTTAGGTCTCATCTATTAATAATAATTTTTACATATGTTGTGAGGAATCTAACTTCATTCTTACACATGACGATCTCCAGTTGTCCTGGGACCCTCTGTTGAAAAGACTAGTTTTTCCCATTGAAGACGTCACCCATGTCGAAAGTCAGTGCCCATAAGTGTAAAGTTTTATTTCTGGATTCCAGCCCATTGATTTATGTATCTGTCGTGTGACAATATGACATTGTTTTGATTACTGTGACTTTGTAGTACAATTTGAAATCAGAAAGTTATCATTCCTCCAAATTTGTTTTTCTGTTTTAAGATTGTTTTGATTATTCTGGGTCTCTTGCATTTCCATATGAATTTTAGGATCAACTTACCAATTTCTGCAAAAAAGACAGCTGAGATTTTGATATGAATTGCATTGAATCTGTAGGTAAATTTGGGGAATATTGTCATCTTAACAGTATTATGTCTTACAATCTATGAAATTAAAATATCTCTCCATTTATTTAGATTTTTAGTTCTCAATGATGTTTTATAATTTTAAGAGCAACAAATGCCCATCAACTGAACAAAATGTAGTATATCCATACAATGAAATAATATTTATTAAAAAAGATGGAGTGAAGTTTTCTAATGTGTATTACAGCATGGATGAACCTTCTAAACATTATGCTAAGTCAAAGAAGCCAAACATAAAAGACCATATGTTGTATGATTCCACTGATATGAAATGATGAGACTAGCCAAATCAATAGAGACAAAAGGATTAGTGGCACTTTGTGAAATTTTTAACTGATTTTTTTCTTGCTTACTTGTATGGCATCTGTATCTTCCTCTCATGCTTGCTATTGGAGAGTTAGTACATGTATCCTGCCTTTCCTAGGAGGGATCTGCCCTTACTGGGATCTCAGGCTACTTGTTTGCCCTGTGACCTCAGCTTTCTGATGAGGGTCAAGAAATGTTGCAATATGATGGTTTATCCAATGTTTTCTCATTTTTAAGTTAGGAGTAACACTCTTTTAGGCTTTCTACATCTAAAGTGAAATGGAACTCCCTGAAGCATCATTTCTCACTCTGTCTGAGCAAGTCTCACTCTGTCGCCCAGGTTGGAGTGCAGTGGCATGGTGACAGCTACCACAGCCTTGACCTCCTGGGCCCAGGCAGTCCACCCGCCTCAGCCTCCTGTGTAGCTGAGACTAAATGCATGGGCCACCACACCCTGCATTTTTATTTTTTTATTTTTGTGAGATAAGGTCTTGCTACATTGCCCAAGTTGGTCTCAAAATCCTGGGCTTAAGCAACCCTCTCACCTTGACCTCCCTGAAGTGTTGGAATTATACGCATAAGCCATCACACTCTGTCTGAAGCATCATTTTTATTGAATATTTCACAAATTTCATTTCACCCAAAACTGTTTCAAGAATCTTGCTCTGTCCTTTGGACTGTTAAGAGCCATCGTTGGTTAGAATAATCAAAATAATTGGGCAACCTCTTTCAGGTCTCCTTCCACTGTGGGAGCTTTTCTGTCTTCTTAATAAATCCTACTTTCTAAATAAATAAATAAATACATAAAATAATTGTTCTATGAGAGGGATCTTAATTTTAAATTTTACAAGACACAGTGATAGTTTGAAGCTTTAGTTTTAATGTATTTAACACCTTTTTTGTGTAAACTCTAGCATGGTATCACACACAAATAGATATTTTGTAAATGCTTTTAATGATGATGATGATTTCTTTTGCACTGTTATTTACTGACCTAGGCTTAAGTGAGAAAGGGTACTATGAGCATATGGATATTGATTAGTATGTATAATCTATTGTGTAAATTGTAAAGTATTACAAAGAACTAGATACTTCTGTATAGTTAATCTCTGTTATTTTCTCAGGAAAGGATATATTTATAGTTTCTAAAATAATAATCACAAAGAATGAGTCACCATTAAGCTCAGTTCTGGAACAGTTTCAGCATTCAGTAAAATGAACTTTTGGCTACTTTCAGACTTCTCTTTAAGACAGGCATGTCAGTAGAAAGACTTACCAGCTTTTGTGTATATTTGGGAAAGGGATGCAATTTATGAGTATAATTCATACTTTCAGAGTACAGAGTTATTTGTTAAATGAGAAATGGTACATTTTAAATAAAATGAAAGTACGGCGCTGGGCAGGTAGTTATAGAGCTTGAATTCAGTTTTAGAGGATGGATACTACTAGAATGGAGAATCTGTTTTCCACAGCCGCAGGGAGATCAAGTTAAATGATGGGATTTATAAACACAGCAATTAGTTGTGAAGCTAGGGAGAAGGGTCACTGCATTTGAACTTGTGAATTCTTTCTTAAAATGCTGCAGAGAGCTTGGGCCTTAAGTCTAGATAAAGAGATTCACCTACTCAGGTGAAATTTTGAAATTAGTGTTTTGAGACACAATAACATTATTGTAATATCAATATCGCTATAAAGAAAGCTACAGGAATATACAAG